TTTTTGAAAATGTGTATGTTAGATGAGTTCTCAGATAGTCTGCGGCTGATATGGGTATTTGTTTGATGATTGAAGGTGGGTGGTTGGAGGATGTGTGTACCTAAGTTGGGGTGTCATTGTCTTTCTTGTACGGTTCGTATGTATTGTTGTTCAGGTTAAGAGTGACGTCAAGGAAGTTTACTGTTGCTGTGCCTGCGTTTATCAACATAACGTATAAACAAAAAGTATATTAAAACATATATGAAGGGTGTGTTTCATTAAGACGGATTATATATATATATATATATATATATATATATATATATATATATATATATAATTATTTATTTAAAAATATTTAAATTTATTTATACTCTACTTTTGTATCGAGCACTATTTTTTAAAAATAATAACAGAAATACTAAATAACTTTGGATTATTTACCTAACGAGCTTTCTTTCCTATTTTCTATATATTTTTCAGTCTTTATTTTCACACACACATATATATATATATATATATATATATATATATATATATATATACTCAATTTCCGTAGTGCAAAAATTTGCTAAGTTTTCTTGCACTAAAATATTTCTCGGCCAGTGTAATTATTATCGGGTTTTATTCTAATTTTTATAATTAATACTTGATTGTTAAGGCAGAATTTAAGTGGTTAAATATATTGCGAATTTAAAAACATCTTATTCACAATGATTGTAATTATTAAACGGAGGAGATTTCCACATATTATTAAAAATAATTTTTTTCTTTATGTTTTTCGATGTTAAATATTCCCGATATGAGACATTCTCTTTTTTTAGTGTGTTAGTGATCCAAACGTCCTTATGTGGAAATCTCCACCCTTTGCTGGGTGACAGTCGCAAGACCGGAAACCCGTGAAGCAAAATTATGGAAAATAAAGCATAATATTTAAAAATTAAAAAAAAAAATCCATATTACAACCAAAAACGTTTGCGGTTTCTCTCTTCTTTTTAATATACACACTTTTCTCTCATTGGAACTATATAACCTATTCCTTTTATATATATATATATATATATATATATATATAGTGTGTGTGTGTGTACAAACAAATACATTAATATTAACAAACAATAAGGGTTACAATTGACAAAGACAATATTGTGTGTGTAACAAATTAATGTGGAGAGTTTGTGTTTCAAATTATGCGTCAGTGAATGTTCGTACTTGCGGGTGTGTGTGGTCCACAAGACGGAATGCTTTCTTCTGCGAGAGTTTTACATTGTTGTCGTGTCCGCTGAAAAGTGAAAAAAGAAAAAGAACGAGACAAAGTCTCGCCGAGTATATATAGAATACAGAGAGAGCGCCCCCTAGTAACAATTTCAGAAATTAAGGAATTAGAAGAAGGTAACTCGATAGCATTCTTTCTTTTTTCCATCTCACCATTTTTTTTTATTTTCTTCTTTTCTTTATTTTCTTCCATTTCCTCATTCTTTACTTTTCCACTCTTTCTTTTTTCTCGTCTTTGTATTTCCTTTTCTCTCCTCCCATTCTTCTCTTCCGCGTTTCTTTCTTTTTTCCGATTCCTTTTTTTTCTTCCTCCTTCCTTCCTTCCTTTCTTTTCTTTTTTTCTCTTTGCCTCCTTTCGTTTTTCATCTTTTTTATTTCTCACTTTTCTTTTTAAACATTTCACCTAAAAAAAAAGGTGATAATGCCACTAAGACGCAAGGGGGTTACTGAAAGTAGAAGAAAATGAGACTTTTGGGAAGAGAAAGAACAGGTTTCAAAAAGACAGATTATGGCGATTGACGTTTCATTTAACATTTTGAAGATTGCTGGGGGCAGGGAAGCAAGACCACAGGTGAGAAGTGCGAGAAAAGAAACTATTAGAATAAAACTTACGGTTGCATCTCGCTATTTCAATAGTAAAACGATGAGACCTAGTTGCCAATCTAGTAGAACGCTTAAATTCAAATGACCCGTACCAACGAGGAGGGATCATTTGAACAACTGCCATGAAATTATTCATAGAATAAATATTCTAGTCTTTCTTTCTCTTCTCGTTGTTCTTTTTTCATTTCTCTTTTTCTCTGTTCTTTTTTCTTCGTCTTTCTTTTTTCATCGTCTTTCTTTTTCCTTCTTTTTTCCTATTCCTTTTGTTGTAACCGGGAACTAAGAAAACGAAAGCATCATTTCAGCCATTATTCAGACACGGAAGTACGGTGTCGGCCATATTGTTATATGTGAATAAAAAGCAGGAGTATCACTTCTGCCGGTCGAGAAGTAACCAGACTAAATTGTGTTGTCGTCATACGGACCCCCTTACCAAGTTGTGACACCCTTTTTTTTTCTCTATTCTTCATTGCATTATCTTTTTCCTCTTTTCTTTTTACTTCTTTTTTTTTTTTTTTTGCTTCTTGTTTCTTTCTTTTTCTTCTATTCCACGCAATTTTCCATCACATTCTCTTTTCCTTCCCTCTGCTGTCTTTTCATATTCACTTCATTAGTTCTTCTTTTATGTGCTGTGTCTCTTTAGGAAGTGAACGATAATGCCTCCTCACGACACCTTATCACTTGTAACTCCTAGCAATGTCTGTGCTCTTGTTATCTTTCTCCACCCTCTTCTGTTATCTGTATGTACAAGCCCGTTAGATAGTCTGCTATTTGCTGTTCCCTTCTGTCCATCTTTCCTTCAATATATCTTGTGAGCGTCAGGTTCTCAAATCAAGCCGAAGGCGCTCGGAATTATAGAACATTTGGACAGTTTCTACACACTTTGTATCCAAAAAAGAAAACACTTGTTCGAACACAAGAAAAATTAAATAAAAAGCTTAATCGTAGTACCCTGTCTTTTTAATGAAACATGCATAAATGAAGAATTGCTGCCTAAATATACAATATATATATATATATATATATATATATAGTATTAATGTGATTAAAATTTGTCACTTAGCTGATTGTTGTTACCTTGAGCATCCCGATTCCAGAGTTTCGTAGATGACTCTGTTCGTCCACTCTTCAGAGGATATCGGCAATTCACTGCTTGTATTTTCTCAGTGCTTTCTTTTTATACACATTTAACACTGATGTAAATTTTCTTCTGTATTCTCTGTGTTTGTGTATGCGCTTCTCTGCGCACACGCATGCGCCCTCTCTGCACCGATGTGCGTAGTGATCATCTTAACCATTACATTTTTTTTTTATCTGTAGCACACTTAGTGTGGTTTTGATCCCGCTCTAGGCAAGTAACCTATTTTTATTTATTTATTTATTTTTGTTTATGAGCATTTTAGTTTTTTTTTTTTTTTGTTGTTGTTTTTTTGCTAGGGAAGTTGTATTTCCGTTCGTTTATTTATGTTTTTATATAAATAATTGGTATTAATGCTTAGGCACGGCGGAGGCAATGTGTTGTGAACGACGAGGGAAAATTTTTGTTGTTTGTTATTCCCGTGTGAGTTCGAATCGCTCGTTGCCAATTTGTTGTGGATTCCAAGATGAAATCCGGTCTTAAATGAATGACAAACGCAGGAATGAAATATAGCAAATAAATGTATTGACGTAATAATACAATTGGTAATACGGTTAGTAGATCCAGAAATGCGGTTAGTAGCAATAATAATATATATACAGTCTGGGAAATTCAGTATCGAAGTAAGACTTCCTTCTGAGTCTACGTGCTCGCAACTGTGACTCGTACAAAGTGGTTACCTCACACTCTCACTCTCTCACTGCCGGGTATTCACCGGCAGCAGTACAAGTACACACTGGGCGATTCCACTTGTATAAAATGTGGTGGACCCCTTAACACAATGGATAACGGATTGGATTGAAGAATCGGAAAGCCGAGTTCGAATTCCATTCGAATCCATTACTTACGTGCTAATACCCTTGGGAAAGGTGTGAATCCTCTTCTTCTCCCTCCAGCTATGGGTAAGCAGCAGGACAGACTGGGTTCTATAGCCTTGGATGGCAACTGGTTTTGGAGAATGACATCTATGAATTCAGTGTGGATGGTCCGGCACGAAACCTTCACCATTATAATCAAATCTCAAGTTTCGGGCTGTCGGATCCCTAGGAACTGATCTGCTTAACCCTCCTACGTCATATTCGACTGGAGAGTCGAGTTATATATATATATATATATATATGATGTTAATATTTAAATGGTAAATATTAATCCATAAACATGCTCATACACACATACATATTTATATTCATTGTGCAATTGTTTCGTTTTTTAATTGGGTCTGTGTGATATAAGGAGGTTAGATTTATAATAAATTTATTTATTATTGTTAGAACTTATGGACATATGTCAGTAATTATACGCCTGTGTATACGCACATGTACACATTTATTCGTGCGAGTATATAGGCATATATATGTGTGCATATATACACACATGTACACTTAAGTTTTTGCTTTGTCAGTAATAAACTAGTGCTTAAATGAAGTTATTTATTTTTTAAATATCATTTTTACACACACACATATAGAGAGTACACACTCGCGCACATATATATCTATAGAGACATATATATATATATATATATAGGGAGAGAGAAAGAGAGTACACATTCACGTACACCTACGCACTCTCTCTCACACACACACACACACACACACACACACATATATATATATATATAGAGAGAGAGAGAGTACACACTCACGCTACTTACGCACACACACACACACATATATATATATATATATATACACACAAACACAGTGTACACACTCAAGCACATCTATGCATATATATATATATATAGAGAGAGAGAGAGAGTACACACCTACGCACATATTTGTAATCGTTTATTTCATGTTTCATTTTTATTTTTATTTAATGCTTAGTAGTTTATTTGTTTTTCCTTGGTCTTATATATTAAGGTATTAATTATGGCGGGGTCAGGTTTGTTCCTTTGTTGGTGCTTGTGTGTTTAGGTGCGTGCATATCTACATGTGTACACACATGGTATAGAGGCGTACTTTTATATTTGTTCGTTTATTAATAAATTAAGTTTATATTATATTTCTTTATTTTCTTTATTTATTTATTTAAAGTTTGTATTATTTTTAGGTTTACATTTATTTATATTTATTTATTTTTAGTTAATGCTTAGATGGCAAAGTAAATATTTATTTATATGCTTACATTTCCCTATTATTCTGTTTATTTTCGTTGTGAAAACTAATTATTGCTAATTTCTGCTCTAAGCATAATTTGCAATTTCTGCTGTTAATACTGTAAGGAGCTGCTCTTTTTTATGATTTGCCATTTGATTTTAGTGGGGATATTGCTTTCTTTTTGGCTCCATATGATAGGGTTGTATTTTTTTTATTTTTTTTCTTTCGAATGACATTTTGGGGTTATATTTTTCTTTAAAAGTTTCTTTTCTGTGGCCTCTATGTAAATTTTTTGTCTGTGTTAATGTTATTATTTACGATGGCTTTGTATATTATATTATTGGTTAAGCATTTATTCTTAAGTGTGCAATTTTCTTTGTTTCTGCAGTTACATTTAATGGTATTATTTTGCTGTATGTTATTATTGTTGTAATTGTCACTGGTTTTGTTGAGTATTTTTATTGTGCTTAGTTATTATATTCCCCATGTTGTCCATGCAGCTATAACTAATTTTGATTATATTTTTGTTGATAATTTACTATTTTTAGAGAAGTGTTTGTCAATTATTTTGAAAAATATTTTCCCTATTTTAGATTTTATTGTATTGTTGTGGGATGCGGGGAAGAACCAAATTATTTTTTCCTTTGTTTTAATTATTTTCGTTATGTTCTAGTTTGAATATTCACTATTTCTTAGGGCTGATTCATATGGTATTTTTATGTTCATTGAATATTTTCACGTTACTAGAATTTGTTGAAATTCTTTTATTTATAGATATAGGTATTTGTTTAAATACGTTAGTAGGTGGTTAGAATTTTTGTTAATATATATTGGGTTGTTGTTTAGTATTTTGCATAATTTGTATGTTTCGTTGTTTAGATTGAATGTTATATCTAAGAAATTTACTATTTTTATTTGATTTTATATCTATTATAAATCCTAGGATTTTTAAGGTTTTTACTATTTCTTGTTTTATTTTTCTGTAGTTCTGCTATTGCAGTCTCATAGGAGTAATTGACCGTCGTCCCTGTATAGACCTATATCTTTTTTAATAATAATATTTTTTTTATATTATATATATATATAATAAGTGCCATCATAGCTACCCAATGTTACATCAAAGTTGTTGTTATTATATTATTATTATTTTGGACCTTTTTGTCCATATTTTTTATTGTGGTATAATATTGATTGTTTAATTATATTAATGTCCTCATTGGGGATATTGATGTATTGTTTAAATGCGTTGTTTAGTGTATGTTGATTAATAGATGGGTAAAAATCTTTTATGTCTAATTGTATAAAGGAGCAGTTTTCTGTTATTGAACCAATTGATTGTTGCTTTTGTATTTTTCCATAGGTCTATGTTTAGTATTCTTGTGAGTTTTGAGCATCTTTTTTCTAATATTTGTCTGCTTATCTTCCCAGTATTGCTTTTTGTGGAGTTTAGTAATCTGCATATTGGTTTAGTAGTATGGTTTTACTTATGATCTTTAAATTTAATAATGGTTCTACTGTTGCTAATTGTTTTATCCTATTGCCTGATTTATATGATTCCCATTCAACAACGAATTAAGTGCATTAACATGAAAGGATTATGATTACTGTATGGCGTTCTGCGTCGGGTATGGACCATGTTTGCAGGTTTATTAAACTTTGAATGCCGCTTCTTCTTTGCGGTGTTTGTCTCCAGCATTTAGTCGATCATGGCTCTCCCCAATTTCTTATTCTTAGTAACTGTTCGGAACTTTAGTTTTTATACTATCCCTTCCCTTCCTGTTTTGTCATCCATTTACACAAGTTCGTCACGTAAGTTAATCACTAATTTCTTTAGTCCCTTTTGTCTTCAGTACTTTATGTGAGGGTCAAATTCTCCTAGGCCCCTTTCCTCAGAATTTTAGTGATCTCTTTCTGATTCTAATTAAAAAGTATGACGTTTGTTTCCATAATCTCGCTCGTCAGTAGTGGGAGAATTCCGCGACAGGTTTTTGCATATTATCTCCGGCAGGATTGACTGATCGAAAAACATTTATAAAAACCCTTTCCGATTAAATTTAGAATTTTCATTGTCTGCACAAATCATATCAACTTGCACTTCAAAAGTAGCCCTCTAAATTATATGGTAGGGAATGCCAGACAATCTTTTCACAAATGAAAAAAAAAGACATGATACAACAGAAATATGGCTTTAGAGAACAATACTATAATGATCATATGTGATCCTTGTGGAAGGTTTAAAGAAAATAGAAACAAAAGTAACACTTTTACTCAGAATCAGAAAGAGATAACTGAAATTTCTGGAGCACATAATGAGGAAAAGGGGCTTGGAGAATTTGACCCTCACATGAAATACTGAAGACAAGAAGGACAAAAGAAAGCAGCGAATAACCTGCTTAACAAGCT